CTTCCTTCTAGACGTGTTCTCGGGCATGACCGTCTGATATGAGAACTCTGATTAAAGAATACAGCTCCTCGTGTCCGGGGCTGGGCCCTTTCAACTGCAGCCCCATTTGTAAATCATGGGCCGTGTAGGTCTGGTGTTCGCAACTCGCCCCCGCCCCCTCATCGCATCACCCGAGGTATCCTTCTTACCTTATCGTAAAGAAAAGTATTGGCAGTGGGGGCGCTCTACACCGGGGGAAGCACCCGTGTTCCGCTTGGGTCCCCTACAGGGCTCAAGGGAGCTGTCCACTTCCGAGTCAGGGGGCAGCCATGGATTCGATTCCACCATCATGATCTAGGACCTTGGCAAGTGGGGGATAGCTCCGCGAAGTGAACGCTGAATAGTCCACCGAACGGTAGAGCGGAGGCAAATTCGGCCCAAGACAAGGCTGCGAAGCTGTGTTTGTTTTATCATCTCCAATCTGAGCTGATGCCAGGAGGCCTGCGGATCGAAGTTCGCGGAGGAAGCGGATGAGGGCCCAATTCTTAAAGTAAAGGTATCCTTGCCTTTGATCCCACCACTTCTTCCATCTAGAAACCCTGCAAAGGGCCAGGACCACGGAGACAACTTGCACCGCCAAGGGAGAGATGAAGGAGACCATCGGAAGCCGGATGATGAGCGAGCGTAACATATTCCTGAGCCATCACCGTTGCGGTAGTACCGAGTACTGCTCACCAGATGCGGGATTCGTCCGACGAACATGTTTACAGATCCTTGAAACCTTAGAAACCGCACTATGTCTTGTATTGGTGCATCCCATACATGAAGTTTGGTTTGCACTGTCACAGCTCGGAGATGGAATTATGCAGCAGGAACGGCTGCATGGGTTCCCTGCAAACTCATTCAAAGTCGCCTTGCGGATAGTAGGGGAAACGTCTCCTCCGCCATGGGTTGCATCAGTTGGGACTCTGCACTCCAACTTGGTGTGTTTAAGCCCGTTGCCATGTTTCCAATGCTGGATGTTCCGGTTCTGTTGTACTAGTGATGGATCGCAGACCCTGATTCAAACATCTAGACTTCCTCCTTGATTCAGTTCTGCTCCTCCTGGGCTCCAAGGATTTAATACTTGTACGAATGACACTCCGCACTTGATTTTGCTCTCTTGGTCGGTCGTTTCCTCAGTCATTGGACTTATCTCGACTCCACTTAGTCGACTGCGACAGAATCTGCCAATGTCGACCACCGATCTCACGGACCCGGCTGCACAGGCTGCCGCTGCAGCTGCTGCCGAGGCAGGACGACAGTTCACGATCGAGGCCTGGACACTTTACGGCATCGGAGTGATCGTTACGGCCTTGAGGACGTACGCCAGAGCAAAGGCCGTTGGGATCCGGAATTTTCGGGCTGATGACTATCTGGTGTGGGGAGCAGTTGTATGTTTTCTTGTTGATGATGCTACGACACTAAGCAAAGTTTGTTGCTGATCTTCGTCTCCTTTATGCAGCTTTTTTACACAGTCCAATCAACCCTAGCCTACTCCGTTGGCAACATAGCTCATGGGCTCGCCAATAATGGTATGACAGACGAAGAGCGAGCAGCACTATCTACTAGTGATCCGGAATATCAACTGAGGTAAGTGACATTAATCCAATGTCTGATGTCATTAAGTGAATTGGTGAATAGAGTCATCGGCTCGAAGATTCAGATTGCTGGGTGGACCACTTATTCCGCACTCATCTGGCTGCTGAAGCTTGCGATGCTGGTCTTCTATCTTCGACTTACGGTACTTTCCCTCTCATCTAGCCCTATCACATCATATTTACCGACTGACACATGCCCTTAGGAAGGTCTAGGTCGTCGATATCGTATGCGCATCTGGATTGGCTTCGGTCTGGTGATCGGGACATTTGTCGCCTCTCTTGGAGCAGTGTTCTTGTCGTGCATTCCATTCAGCAAGTATTGGCAAATCAGCCCGGACCCTGGTAGTAAGTTTATGAACCCCAAAGCCAAATGTGTGATGCATCCTCACCATTTCTTTTTTAGATTCCTGTCAAGCTGCCGTATCGTTACCGATCATCTGGACCTCCTTCGCCGCGAACGTCTCGACCGATATATATCTCATCCTGATTCCTATTCCTCTTTTATGGGAATCAACATTGAGGCTCGTCAAAAAGATTGCGTCGACCATCGTGCTTGGTGCAGGCATCTTCGTCCTGGTCTGTGCCACGCTGAAGAGCATATTCGTCCTCGTGGTAGGTTTCATCGATCAAAAAAGCCTCTCGTTATAGGCCTTGTTTGTTCACTAAGGCCTCATTTGTTCACAAACTAAAACTGAACTAGGATCCCGTCAATGGTGCCCAACTTGCCGGCGCATGGGGTACTCGCGAAACCTTCGTCGCGGTCGTCACCACGAACCTTCCTATGATCTTTCCTCTCATTAGAACATATCTCAAGCCTCTTTGGCCCAATGTCTTACGATCATCCAAAAACACGAAAAAGGCATACAAGACACCGAGCGGCTTCCAAACTATCGGGGGCGGCCACGGGGATTCATCGCGCCGGACTGGTCCTCCAAGCGCAAACCCTGTTGCCTCCAACATCACTTTCACCGAAAGCGAGGAACGCATAATGAGCGACGTTAAGTTGCAAAACCTTAAAGGCTCTTCCACGCCTACATCAGGCAAACCGTCAAACGGTATTGTGGTGTCGAACGAAGTGGAGATCATTACTGAGGACAGAACTAGCCAATTTGGTGAGCAGCGCCCTCAACGAGCACATGAAGCTTGGTAGTCTCGGGATTATTTTTCTTGATTTTTCACGTTCGATTGGTTATAACTTATGTCTGGTTACTTGCTCTATACCAATTTCTATCTTCAATTCATCAACTCTCTATACGTTTGCAGGCGTTGAGCGTTGCCTTATACCGCGAGTAGCATGTCTGACTTTTCCATGCAGTTGAACGCCATACCAAAAGTTGGCTCGACTGTTAAATGACAGAAAGAGCGTGTTCATTGGTCATTCGAGTGGAGGAAATAGCTTCATTCTTTGTGAAAAGTAGCATAAAAGTCTCCGAGGTTCCTTAGACTGACTCGGCTCGCACGATTTGAAACTCTCCTTGGTCGCAACAACCACCACGAAGGTTTCTGCGGACTCGGGGGATTTCTGCTCATGACGGAAGCTTGAGTAAAAGTCTCTTAAGTCTGAGAGGGACTAATACATAAATGACACCCATGTTCGTGCAATCTTTGCTGCTTTGCGAAATCTGTCTGCGCAGAGAAAGTGACAATAGGAATTATCTAGGAAGGCAATTTCAAGACATCCCAATTCATATCTGCCCCATGTTTCGGGTTTGAACTGCGCGCCTATGTGTCTGCAGTAGCAGTATTTGCTTGATACGAGGCCTAGAAGCGAAACCTTAAGGTTAAGCCGCATATTTTCAAAACACAAAGAACCAATACATTGCTAACTTAATCAACGTTCACTCAATATTCCGGATGGTGTCTCCTTGGGAGAGGATAGGGAAGCTCTTCAAAGCAAACTCAGGCGCAGCTGAGGCGTAGTCGCAGCGAACCTTCTCCACATCTCCACACAATCCATCAACCTTTTAGTCGAAACAGCCACTGTCTTGCCGGTGCCTGAATGCTACGTTCTGAGGCTTCAAAAACAACTCAACCAGTCGGGCTGGAACAGGCTATTTGGGGCCCACCTGTTATTGCTTGCCTACAGTTGTGGTTCCCAGCGGTGGGTAAGGTGACCAACCGGCCTAAGAGGCCTCCCACTTCCCGGGCCCTCTTTCATCGGTTCTCAGGGTGTACAAGTATCAAGTCAACCCGAATAGATCTCACGATGAGACGATGAGCAACCAAGGGAAATTAGTAAGTGTTCCTGCCTCGGTTTCTAAGAATACCTCTGGCTTGTGTTCATATAATCTCAAGTCTTTGCCAAGATACTTTTGAGAAGCAATGCGTGAAGTCCATAAGAACCGGTAGAAATGAAGGAGACTTTTACTATCATGTAGACATTATGATCCTCCAATAGTCTAGCCGTGGATTCAGGCTTATTTCAGACTATTAGTTTGGCTTGGGATACGTGGGTACAACAAAGGGTTGCAAGAGTGTGGGAAGGAACATAAAAGTGAGATTCACGTTGAGAGGCCGGTACCACTAAGAGAATAAGAAATCACTTATTTCAGCAGAGCATATTGCTGTTTGCTACATGCATGAGCTTGGGTTTACCTAATTAGTACTCCATTGCGAATCTTTCACGTTGGTGCAATGATTTGGCCAAGATTGCCCTGATTCCTGGTCAACCCCAGCAAACCAGCGGAGCCGAAGAACGCTGCCATCTCTACCTAGCTGAGTGCGCTGTGGTCTACCAATCTCGAGGTCGAAGCAGTCGGATATTTACACAAAGAGTAAGTTCTGTTCGGTTGTGAGAATCCAGCATTTCTTAAGAATATTTCCGGCGGTAAAACCTCGCCTTGTGGACTGAGCGAAGTGCGACTACACTGATTGTTGTGTAGAATGAATCCGCTGAAGGAGAATAATTAACTTGGCGCTGGCGGTTTTGTTCTAGCATGTCTATTTGCCTAAGCTGCTTCACATGGTCCTACCTTACTAATCATAAACGAAGATGGGGCAACTCTCGGGGCCGGAAGCGAATGTCAGCATGACTGCAGTTTTGAGAGATGGTGACAAGCCCGTACGTAGTAAGCTCGAGTAAATCTTTAGGGTGATCCTCCGGCCCCACATTACCGGCGCCGTGACTAATGCCCTTATTTCCTCGGCGCCGAAATGATGCATGTCACTCAAGGACCTCAAGCCCGATGTTTGAAGCCCACTAAGTCGGCTTGACTACATAAGGCCTGATCTCACAGATGCTATTTTGTCAAAGCCAGATAGGATTGAAGCTTCAACATCACTTGACATTCTGAACTCGCCAAGTCGCTGATATAAGCATTCCGCTTCTGAAATACCAACACACCACAGGCATCAAACTCTCTGCTACCTAGCGAAACAAATATGGTCGATTCATTCCCTCACCGGCGCATAGTGATTTCTAATCTCGATATCGGCTCAGACAATGGCAACGGCAAGACTGAACCTGGAGTGGAGGTAGTTACAGAGAACTTGGTGACAGAGAATATGTTCGACGGCCTGCTACAGAGAACCAAGATTGGGACTATCTCGGCTGTCCCTGCCAGCAATGAAGGGCTGTGAGTAAATTCGGCTGCAAGACCGTAACGAATAGAGATTGACTTCGTCAAGTGGCCTGCCGGTCTTTGCTGACGTCCCTGGAAGTGGGATAGTCTTGCCAGGCGGAGTGAACGTGTACTTCTTGGATTTGGCTCCTGGATACACCACCCCGATGGTAAGTTGATTTCCTTCTCCTAAGATATTCTAGCAAACAATCCAAAATCATTGACGTGTCTTGCCCTGAATTCACCCCAAAGGCTGACTCAATCATTTCAGCATCGAACCCCATCAGTCGACTACGTTGCTGTCACCCAGGGAACGCCTGTTCTTATCACACCAAAGGCTGCTTTCAGCGCCAACAATGATCAGGCTGACTACGAAGAAACTGTTGAAAGCCTGCTTCGGCCGGGAGATGTTGCCGTTCAACGGGGGGCAATGCACTCGTATGCTTCATGTCTCTTTGATAAATAACATGTCATTCTTGAACACCAGAGCTAACCCGTATGGTCTGTAATAGCTGGGCAAATAGAACTAACGAGTGGGTTCGCATGATCGGCATGGTAGTCGACGCAAAGCCCTCCGAAGCTACGGTAGATGGAAAGCGATTGGAGCTTGGCGAGAGATGGCTTCAGTAAGCATCGACTCGCAAATCAGAAGTGTTTGATAGCAACACTGGCGGAGCATCTTGGAGTTGTCTGGTGTAGACTAAGTTGTTCATCTGGAAAAGGCTACGGGGAGAGCTATTATGAAAGCAACTGCAGACAGAGACACGCGTCTGAGAAATTATCGGCTTAGGTAAATGACCACACAGTGTATTTGGTCAGTCTAGTCTTTGATATTCACTCCCGGCCGTGGGGTGTATACGAAACAGTTCCTGTCGTAGAAGAGACCACCCGTGCCATCCTCTTTGTCCACGCCGTCTTCTACAGGGACATCGAATAGCTTGCATTCTTTAGCGGCCGACTGATACGAGAAAGACTGGCATCGAGGTGGGCGGCGTCCATCGGTGCATAGCTCCCAGCATTCGTATGCGTTATCAAAGTTTGACCCGAGACCATAGTTCCCATATGCAGGCTTGATGCTGCCCTCAACATTGCAGGTCTCATTGACTGGAGCCTGCGGTGGCCAAGTAGCGAGAGCATTGGCACCAAGTACCAACACTGCAAGATATTGAAGAGTTGTCATGTTGAAAATGGTAGAGTCGAGGATTGAAGTAAAGCCGGTTGATCGATTCGCCAACCAACTCGGTCAACTGATTATGGCAGGAAAGGTTGAAAGCCTGCCAGCGTGCATGACACAACTTATTCGTATTTATAGGTCAAGAAACAAAGGCTACCCCGCCCAGGTAAGCAACTAAAGTAAGTCTCTTTCTGTCGAATGCATGATGCAGCTGACACAGGATGTAATGTTCCAATTGGTGTTGTCGACATGCAGCCAAGCCTCAGCTCGTATAACCCCTCGATGCTAGTCTTTTGGAGGTTGACTTGTGCTACAGCAGCTGGGCGGAATGGAGGCTTCAAAGTCAGGCTTGATTCGCTGCCATCAAAACGAACGCAGCGACATAATAACAAATTGCGCATGTCTGATCATTCCAGAATGATCATCCGGCCTCGCATTTCCTGAACTGGCCGCAGGGACGGTCATCACTTATTGATTCTATATGAAAAATTGCGAATGGGGCAGGAAGCATAAAACGACCTTGGATCCCCACAAAGGTAAAGCACCGTAAACGGTACCTGCTCAAAATCAATCTTTGAATAGAAATAAGTTGGCATAATGTTATGGTATCATCTGGATATCTCAAGGTAGTTGACAATCGAATGGTACCAAATTGCCACAAGATTTAAGTCTAGACCTGCGTGGTGGACAAACTGAAACATGCGAAGACCGAAGCAGAAGCTGAAGCCGATGCCAGCGGCTACACTCACGAATGTATAGGTTGCGAGTGGAATAACACGACAAATTTGCCGTCCTGTCGAGTACGGATGGCGTCAGTACAGACGTATCCCGGGTTCCTCTACCTCTGTTCCCAACATCACTTTCTTCATTCGAAGATGTGAGTGGAATGGGATGGGATCAGCACGTAGTTCACTGCTATTCCAAGTGTATACGCGTATCTGCTTATGTACCGATGCCATCCAGCACTCGACAGGATAGCTATGTCGAGGAAGAATGAAGAGCCGGGGTTATCGGAACTGAAAAGCTTCGAATTTTGATAGCTCCGTACCGTAATTGACTACTTGGCAGACATGATTCAGGTATTGAAAACGACGACCTTGTCAGGCGGCCACGAAGAACATATTTGATGGAACGATTCCGCCCACAAATCGTGGAACAGCTCGGAGGTTAATTGATTTCATCAGCGAGCCCGCCGCTTGCCGCTAACAGTGAAATGTTAGAGCTTCAGCACCCAACATCAAGCCTCCTGTCGGCTCATGTACGTGAACACAAGATGTTGCCAGCCGCGCTGAGTTTGGAACCGGAGTTTTGACTACACGTTCATTAAGAGCAGCATGGAATATTTTCCGCTGTACTGATTGTACTGATGATAGAGCTGTTCACGTGCTTAACAACCCTTTACGGACGTCGCCGCGTGTAAACAGGGATGAGCCTAGATGAGGCAGGTCGGGAGCTCTAGAGTATTGCCAAATAGGGCTCTTACGCCGTCAAATGGGGCAACAAGCCTTGGGAATTGCCGTCACAAGACCGGCATTCGTTGATTGCCGCGGGGCCTTCAATCGGTAATCGGAACGCATCGTCAGCGCCAAGATGAACTGCACTCGGATGAACCACGTCCACTTCTCTCTTATCCACGTACATTCACCTTCCCCATTGGACAGTTTAGCGCCGCATTGCGTGATTAGGAAAAAGTCTTTACCTACCCCTTTGGCTTTTGGCATATCCTTGATTCAATCATACTTCTCAATAACTTGTTTGTACCAAGGATTTGGGTGGTGGTTCCTGTCGGCGGAATGTTCTTTAGCGGAAACTCGGCGGAGTTTCAGCGGAGATACGATCGAGCTCATTCTAGATTCTCGTCTCTCGAAAATTCCGCACCCTTTCATTGCTGTCGATACCTATTTCATCACGCAGCTCCTGCGAAACTTGCCGTCGAGAACTTGGCAAGCTGCGAGAAGTTTCGTGTAGATAGCCCGCGCTGAGAGTAATGTGGGCTATCCGGGCAACGTCCGATGCCGTTGTCGGAAGGGAATCTGGCCATGTCAATATGCCAGATGGAGCCCCAATACCTAGACCCTTCTGTCATCCACCGTAAACTCATGACAGGCCACCATGACGGATTTGAGTCTATCCACACACACTCGCATCTTCCCCTGTTGAATCATTCCGTCGCCACATCTGATACGTTCTTCATGCCCTAGGACGAGACAGGTTTTGAGGCCGAAAACCAAGGAGCATGATGCTTGGTCTACGATTACAAGACTCAGAGTTGACTCCTCTAGTGCCATCATCCTAGCAGTGTCTACGCGTAAAGCGGAAGGTAGTGCTGACAATAGAATCGCTCAAATTTTCGAAAAGGTAGAAGCAAGTACCTCGAGGTAGTCGCAAATGTACAGCTGTTCGCTTGTAGACCTATAATTACAGAGAAGTACAACAAGTTCAGCCCTATTGGGACTTAAGCATACTTGTATCCGACGAGAGCCATAAATTTCTTACCCTATTGTGGAAATGCGCGTACGCTGTGCAACTATGGAGTCTCAACATGATGTTCTTTCCTCGGTTTCGCTTTGACGTGGAAAATCACGAAAATCGTAGATGGTTTGGAGAATCCTGACCAGGTTTTAACAGACTTATAAATATCTACAAGTAGTATCATGCAGGTCTAAACCCAATCTCACGCTAACATCCATCTTAATCCCCCCCATAATTACCAGAAAAGGCATTCGCCGTATCTCTCAAACTACAATCATGTTTACAACTCTTCTTGCGGCCGTGGCTATTGCTGCCAGTCATGTTGCACACGCTTCTACCTCTGCAACTCCTAGCCTCCTCCTTTTCTCCAAGACGGCTGGCTATCGTCATGCAAGGCATGTATCGCGCTCCCTATGCATTGTTTTCTCTGTCTAATTAGGGCATTTGAGCTATTAGCATCCCTCATGGTATCCAGCTCGTGAGCTCCATTGCCAATGAGAAGGGTTGGTCAGTCGCGGCGACAGAAGACTCTGCCATCTTCACCAACGGGAGCCTGTCCGCCTACAGCACTCTGGTCTTCATCTCCACGACCGGCAACTACCTGTCAACTAATGAGTCGGATGCTCTCAACGATTTCCTGCTTAACGGTGGCTCTTGGCTAGGCATTCACGCCGGTAAGTTCAAGTTGATGGATGTATTCACAGCGCTAAAGACATGTCTGACGTTTTCAAATATAGCCGGTGATTTTGGAGACGATATGCCTAACTGGTTCACCAAGCTTGTTGGTGCACAGGTAAGACGCAGTGTCGGGTTTCCCACCTTTCCTAGCTTTATTGACCTCGCCAAAGTTCCGATCCCACCCTTGTGAGACAGACGACATTTGTGACGACGCGCAGAAAGAGCGATATCCTCCTAGTGAGTTAACAATAAGCTCGATTGTCAATTAAACATAAGAAACTTCTAACGTTTTCCCTCTCTAGATGGCAACATTCGCCCAGACATCGTCACAATTCTCGACTTTGACCATCCCTCGACCTCTGGTCTTCCAGAGAGCCACAACCGGACGGACGAGTGGTATGCATACAAGACTAATCCTGCCGATGATTCTGCATACAAAGTTCTCGCAAAGGTGGAAGAGACATACATCGACGAGATCACGCTATCTCCAGAGCTTCAGCACATGCCTCCCATGCACTCTATTTCGTGGTACTCTATGTACGAGGGCGTGGCTAGGGCGTTCTACACTGGTATGGGACACACTAATGAGTCTTATTCTGAGGAGTACTTCGTTAAGCATGTCACTGGAGGGTTGGAGTGGGTCACCGGCACTTCAAATTAGATAGTGGGCACGGCATGTCGACTGGTCCACATCAAGGAACGACTCAGTCTTGGTTTTGCGGACAACTTCCCTGTAATACGAGAATAGTTCGTCATCACAGTCTTGGTAAGGGATACCTGGCCGATGACATACCGTCAGGTTAAAACTCTTAACAGTCTGATAAAGAACAAGTAACTCATCCATATGCTGGATTTGTAGTGATCATGCATTTGTCAAGATGTTTTCGTGTTGGAGAGGTAAATAGAGGAATAAGAATACTAGCGTCAAGAGACACAAAACTTCAAGTTATGTACAGAAAAGGACGAGATGTTTGAACTGGAATGCTCGGGGAAATGAAAATTAGTTGAATGTGACACCATGCCAGATTGACACCAACATGATGAAAGCCGACTTTACGTCCGATGTGTATCTGGGCCCACATAAATGAGAAACATTAAGTTTACACGCCAGTGCAGACATAATAACCCAGCCACAAATTGCTGCAACTCGAGTCAACTTGTGTGTTGTATGAGAGAAATTGCTCAAACGTGATACCCGCACCGCTGTAAATAGACCAGCAGCTGTCGCCAGACTTGACTTGGTAGAATGTCTTGCAGTTGGAGACGATGCCAGGCATCTGGGGTGTCGGGCCGGTGGAAGGAGGAGACGTCGGCTGAGTGGTGCCTTGAGTGGTGGTGGCCGCGCCAGGCACGTGGACACAGACGTAGTAGTCGAGCCAGAGGTTGGTACAATCTGTTGGGCGACATGTTAGAGCATTGAAACCGAGCAGTCAAAATGATTATACGTACCAGCGTTGATCTCGGTGTTCCAGCTCTTGAACTGAGCAGTGCTGATGCCGTACTTGGATGAGATGGCGTCACAGGAGTCACCGGAAGAGACCTTGTAGAAGCCATCACAGTTGGCTGCGAGGCCGGGCATAGTTGGGGAGTTACTAGGGGCCGCAGCGGTGGTAGTGGTAGAGGAGGATGTGGTAGTAGTTGGGGTCTTGGAAGTGATTGACGTGATGGGGGTAGTGCTCTGGGATGTCGTAGTCGTCGGCTCCGGGTCATTAGTGACAGTACCGATCACGCAGTACGACTTGCTGGTGTCTAGTGCAGGACAGGTGATTCCGGGGTTCAACTTCTGGAGATCGTCGACAGAGAGCCCCCAGCTGCTCGCAAAAGTTGTGCAAGTGTCACTTTTACTAGGGGCCGTGGAGAAGGCGCAGTCGACAGCGCGGCGCGAGAGAACTGACCCAGCAGAAACTAATCCAGGGAGAACTCCCGCAGCGGCGATGAAATGAGTGATCTGCATCTTGAGGAGATAATTGGCAGAGAGGAAATACCCTAAAGAAAGACAAGAGAAGTATGATGTTGATGATGGTAATCATGCGACACTTGAACGCGGCCTGGAAGCCCGAGTCTTATACTCGCCTCCGACAGATTGTTTCCTCTTTCCAAAGAGGAACTCAAATTTCGCTAGGTGTAATCCTTCAAGGCAGAAAGAAAAGACTTCTCATCGACTCGACCTTAGCAACATCCCACTTCCGGTCATAGGAACCAATTCGACTTCGGAAAGCACAATGCAGGAACTATCATCATGATCCGACTTACAGCGGCAAACGCTCTTCCCCGTTCAATAATATCTAAACCCGAAATCCGCTCGATGAATTCTTGAGTGTAACTCTACACGGCCCAGCCGGTGGCGCAGAAAGAGAGAACGGTTCAGAGTTGCCGAGACATGTCAAGTCTCTCAGGTACCACCTTGGCGCCAAGCGCGGCGTGCGTGATCATTGCTTAATACTGCTTCCGCTTATTGGCAAGGCTGCCGAGAAGGATTCGATACATGTATTATGTAGGCACCCGCGGCAAGGATGATCGGACCAACTAGCCTATCAACTCTGTTGGTTGCTGTCACATTGTAGAAGCAACTGTTTGCGCCAAGCCGGCCAATCGGCACCAACGTGAACTCTCGTGCTTTAATTCAACTCTTTTTTCTCGTCACACAGTCAAGAGACGGATCACACACTGAACAAGCAGGCTGAAATGGGTAGGATGGCGGGAAATAGCCCGGAATAGTGGGGGTGGCTAGGCGCTTTCTTTGCCCATCCATCTGTATAAAATTCCATGTTTCTTACTTTTCCGTGCCTCTTTTTCCCCATCGCAACGAAATTATTGCCTGCCTATCTTGCCCCATCGAAACCGAGGCATCGAGCATCGCCTGCTGCTACCCATCAAGCTTCCGGATCTGGTAGAGCGTCAGCATGTACACAACATTATGGACGACTAGTTGGCGGCTCCTTCTAGCCTGTGTCTGGACCATCCTCGGAGCAACCACCGTCGCAGCAAGCGATCAGTCGGGCGTCGTGGAAGTTGACCTGGTATTCCCCCGCAATGAGACATACGCGCCGACGCCGCTTTTACCCATTGTCTTCGGTTTCCAAAACTCGCACTTGGCGCCGGGGCTCGCTCTTAAGATCGGATTCTCGATATGGAACTACAATAACAAGAGCGATTCGGTCAAGACCACGGAGTACGACGTGAGATTTGCCAACTTCTCCAGCAGCGACCCATACTATGAGTACCGCGGCTTCGCCATGTTCAACGTTGAGGGGACCTGGCAGATCAGATACACCGTGTCATGGTTCAGCTGCACGGAGGATTCATTCAAGTACCCATACGAACTTCCCAGCAATAACACGTCCAACGCCGTGATTTTCACAACCAAGACTGCCGGGCAAAGTGTGGATCTCATGGCCGCCACAAACGGACAGGATTGCTCATCTGACGCGGGTGTCGCCATCAGCGTGACTGATACGCTCAACTCTACCGGAATCTCAAAGTGGCCAGGCGGCGATACGTGTGCTGTGGTGGCTTCATCAACGGTCACGCCGAACCCTTGCAAGATCAAGATGAGCGAGGCCGACGCGTCGAGTATCTCTGCTGCTGTCACTGCTCGGGCGTGCGAGGCACAGAATCCACCAATCGAATGCCCTTCAGGCAACGATGGTGACGAAAATGCTGCGGATCATGGGTTGGCTGTTGGAGGGGTGGTGTGTTTGGCTGCCGCATTGGGTGCCATCCTCCACGTTTTGATGTGAAAATGGGCTGAATTGTGGTTGTATTTCGCACCGAGATGACTCAATATGAAAGTTTCTACGATAACTGTGAAAAATAAAGCCTCATTGAGGGTCTGCTAAGGTATCCGAGATCAGGCTGAACAAGAATGCCCTGCGTCGTCCTGCTGTGCCTCCTGCATGGTGTTCGCAGGTGACCATGCTTAAAGGATTTAACTTAGATGGAAACAGGCAACATGAGAATATCATTGGGCTGATGTAATATCAATGTAGTAATATGGGTATGCACAGCGGGAGCGGATGAGATTCAGAACTTTTGCACCTCCGGATGCAGGGGAACATGACTGAAAAATGATGTGAAAGGGGGGAGGGAGGCGGGCTTGGCGAACTTCGGAGAGTGGCGGTCCATCCCGCTCCGTCGCTTCCGCCAGCCCGCTCATTTAGCTTAACTCTAAGCATGTTGTTTCTCCGGGGTTGGGCGACTCCACCTTGATCCTTCGGAAGTGTTCTTTCTGGAAACTCAGCTGTTGGTCATGCTTGTTAAAGGGGGGCAGATGCGTGAAGGATCACTTGCCGTAATGTGCGTCCAACTGCCAAGGCTCTACGATCGAGTTTCCAAGCGTAGAGCCTTGCGAGTTATGCCTAATAACGTAGAGAACTTCGGTAAACACGGCATACGGAAGGTGATTTTGAGGCAAAGGTCGCGAGGCAGCTCTTTTCGCCCCCGAAAAGTGCAAGGATATCGCAACCTCCAGACAGTTGGAATGGAGGTTTCGTGTTGCGTTGAAGTGGAATTTTTGCTGCCTTCTGACTGTTCATGGATTCAATAGTGCTTACTCGCAATTTGAAACTTGTTCTCGATCGATATCATGAGGTTATGGGGGCGGGTTGGGATCAAAGTGGAATCCGAACGGGATTCAGAACTCTGTGCTTGATCGGATGCGAGGAAGATTCATTGTCGTGGTTTGAGTGTTGGCTTGGGGGATAGACTTTTGTCTATCTCAACCGAGTGAATGATATAAAGCTGCTGCGCTGTCAACAACTACAGTTATCAAAACGAGTCAACTGAATACGCTCCTTCCAATCTTTTGTCTCCTATCTATCTTGCATTTTGACTCTTATTCGTCCTTACCATCTCAACCAACTTCCTAATTTCTTTACCCCCTGACTCATATTGTACGAGGCGTTAGCCTCTAGAGCCAATATGCACTTGCCATGGCTCACCGCGGGCCTTATGGCTGTTGGCTTCTTGACTGAAGGAGCCTCAGCGAGGTCGCGGACCGGGCTGAGACTTCCCTCCAGCCCTACCTACAGCAGCTTCGAAACTTGCCCAGAGCGTTGCAGTGTCTCTGGTCCTAATATTGGGAACTGGTCGGTCTATCCCGACTTCAAGCACATGCAGAAATGCAAGCAGACCATGTTCTACCGCTTCTCTCTCTTCGACCCCGTTGACGACAAGGCGGCTAATCATCGCATCCATGCCTGTTCGTCATATGGTCCTGATTTCTCCAAGCTGCCTGCATCGACCGCTCGCATTCCATCATCAGAGTCAGTCGACGTCGACTTTAAAATTGGATGGTGGCAAGAGGGTTTTGGCCAAGCCACCGCCGGCCTTCGCTCTCTGATCAAACAGATGCGCAACTATGTTGATCATGGGCATGGCGAGACTGACGGACCCTTCATCATGTTTGGTCAGTCTGGGCAAGCCACAGTCGGACTCTACATTGGCCAAGGTCTGCTGAACCAAGGCATTGGCGAATCGGCCCTCAAGAATCTCCACGATACCTTGCCTACTCTCAATGTCTCAACACCAAGCCTGGCCATGCAACTTTGCGAGCCAGGCTACGACAGCACTCACATCTTTGGATTGATGCTCTTGAGTAATGGTTCATTCGGCCCGATTCAGGACGCCTTGAAGACGTGGGATAATGCTACTTGCCTTTCC